AGTGACAGGTTAGTCAGGGGTAGTTCAAGCTCCCACAGTGGTTAGTGACAGGCTGGTGAGGGGAAGTTTAACGCTCCCACAGTGGGTAGTGACCGTTAGTCAGGGGTAGTTCAAGCTCCCACAGTGGTTAGTGACAGGCTGGTGAGGGGAAGTTTAACGCTCCCACAGTGGGTAGTGACAGGTTAGTCAGGGGTAGTTCAAGCTCCCACAGTGGTTAGTGACAGGCTGGTGAGGGGAAGTTTAACGCTCCCACAGTGGGTAGTGACCGGTTAGTCAGGGGTAGTTCAAGCTCCCACAGTGGTTAGTGACAGGCTGGTGAGGGGAAGTTTAACGCTCCCACAGTGGTTAGTGACAGGTTGGTGAGGGGTAGTTCAAGCTCCCACAGTGGTTAGTGACAGGCTGGTGAAGGGTAGTTAACTCTCCCACAGTGGGTAGTGACCGGATAGTCAGGGGTAGTTCAAGCTCCCACAGTGGTTAGTGACAGGCTGGTGAGGGGTAGTTCAAGCTCCCACAGTGATTAATGACAGGCTGGTGAGGGGTAGTTAACGCTCCCACAGTGGGTAGTGACAGGTTGGTGAGTGCCGCAGTCCGAAGTGCCTGAACGCTCGTCGTTCATTTATCTTTCCCGTCAGCCTCTAAACTCGATGGTAAGTTGCTCTTTGGACCCAAGTTGGGAAGTTATTTGACAGAGACACAGTGGCTGCAGGTGGGGACTCAGTGGCTGCAGGTGGGGGACACGACGGGGGTCACCAGGAATACTTAAACACTTGGGACGCGACTGGTCGGAATGGGTGAACTGAATCCTTAATTAAATGTGGACAATTGAATTAATGATCGGACCATTCTAAAGAGGCACTGAACATGGCGTACAGGGAGATTCATCCTCGTTGATACGTATCTTACAGTGATTAACAGTGTCTTACAGTTCAGAGTACAACTAGGTCCAATCGTATTGGCGTTTGCCTTTCCATTGGAGACCTTCGGCGCCGTGGAGAGGTGGGACCTGTTGCATGGTTAACAGCTTCTCCCCCCATATCAATCTACCCCTGGCTTTGCACCAGGGAGAAGCCACTCCAGACCGACAACAATATATATATATATATATATATATATATATATATATATATATATTATATATATATATATATATATATATATATATATATATATATATATATATGGTGCGTGTGTGTGTGTGTGGTTTTTAAATCCATCCTTTCATCAATGTATATAAGTGCAATCCCCAAACACTCTAGTGAACTGAAGTTGTAATAACTGCTACGTTGCAGATGTGTGTATCATCATTTTGGTGTCTCGTGTGTTTGTGTGTGTGTACGTACATTACTGAATGTAACTGAAAGATTTACATCAATAATTCTGGTGCGAATCTTCCACATATATATTTTTATATATGTGGAAAATGCCCTGTTCACCTAATGCCTAGCAATAATGCCTGTTCGCCTAGCACTAAGTAGGTACTCAGGTTGTTGTTGTTGTTTTAGATTCAGCTACTCAGAACAAAAGTTCCAAGTAGCACGGGCTATGGTGAGCCCGTAGTGGACTTACCTGGCACAGGAGCGAGGCTGTGTATAGGTACTCAGGAGTTAGTTAGCTTTTTGTGGGGTTGCATCCTGGGTGGGGTCAGTAGTTCGACCTTGGGGGAAGGGGGCTTCGATATAAGCCTAACAAGTATGAATACACTCTGGCTTCCTGTCCCTCCGACACAATGAATTATTATAAAATTATTATAATTTCAGGAGAGTTTATGGTAAAGGATTCATTGAAAACGTGAGAAAAGAGAAAATGTGAATTTTATACGGAGACTTGAGTAAAACTCACATAAATTTTGACTAACTGTATTTACAAGATGGGTATGGGGTGCATAATAAATGAACTAAACTAACTGTATTTACATTCTTTATAAATAAAAAAGACAGATAATTATGAAGACCTCATAAGACCTCAACGCATCTTTAACATAGTGGGTCTTGTAAGTGTTAAATGAGACAGTGTTAGTTGTCATCCACTTAAGCAACCCTGGGAGTATAATATTGACAGTGTCTATCAAGATATCTGGATTTCTTGAGGAGATAACAACATGCGAATTTAGAGCAGAACAGATATTTCTAACACTACACACAGACGTGGGAGTGATATTCAGTCGCAAATATTCAGAATATAACACACACAAATTTGTTTAAACTCTTAACTTGTCTGCTTGCTCCAGCATTTGCTACCCTTATTTATTTATATATTTATTTATTTATATCCATACATGAAGGTACATTGGGCTTATGAAAGTACATAGCATTGATGTAAAGCCTTGTAAGCCACTATAACACGCATAGCGTTTCGGGCATAACAGAAGGCTGTTATCCAACGGTATTTCTGCCTGAGGTTCTATTACTCCAAATTACACATATAATAATAATAATAATAATAATAATAATAACATAGCACACGGATCCATTGCGAACTCCATTCCTAGATAGCATATACCCTTAAGAATGAAAGTGTTACCCCTGACAAGCTGTCAGTTTTCTGTCTTCGTCTAGACGACTAGAGAAGAAGACCGTCCACACGAGGAGACCCTCGTGTAAACATGACTATAGCACTCTACAAAGCTCTTTATCTTTATTTAAGAAAATACAATATAAATCATATATACATAAGTTTTAAAAGGCAATATTACATTACAATTCTCAGTGAACAAGTGTTTCATTATCACAGAACATGATCTTTAAAACCCCTGAATGTTATACTTATTTTTATTTAAATGATTTAAAAAAAATTGGAGATTATATTTACATTAATTTTACAGGGGAAATTATACATTTATACATATTTTATATATTCTCAGTAAACAAATTTTCCATACCATCACCGAGCATGAGCCGTAAACCCCAAATGTTATACCTGATCTGCAAGAACTTCAATATTTTGTTCTTTTGTCTACTGAGTAACCCTCCTGCCTGCCTGGTTATCCACACACAAAAAATGTAATCAGAAAGTAACATAATTATTGTATTCTTGGAGCTTGTGAAGATCTCTTCACAAGCTCCTTTAATCATAAACGACCAAATTATGTTTGTTATTACTTTCTCATCAACCAACGATTGTCCTTAATTACTACAGGTATAATAATTGCTTCTCATCAATCCAGTTTTTACCGCCAATACTAAAAATTAAATAAAGTTCATCATTCAGTATTTACTTTTTAAACTTAAAAATACTCATATCAGCTGAATTTATTACTTTATTTTTATTATTAACATCTTTATTGACAAAATTAATTACAATTTTGCCTAATCAGAGGATTTTGATAGTCTTATTAAATTGAGGATAATGCTAGTATGAATTTATTACTGATTTATAAATTTCATTTTTGTAAACCAATAAGAAAATGTTTAATATTTTTAGTTACATCTCTCTTAATCATTAATTGTGGCTTGTATTCCTCAGTACAAGCCCTATAATTATCTACAAATAACCAGTATGTAATTACGGGCTATTCATGCCCGTGCCACCGTTTGGGTGGCTTAATCTTTATCAATCATCAGTATGTACATTATTGAATAATAATAATCCTCACAGTGCATATATTCTGTAAATAAAAAGTCTGAAACAGTCTTGGAAAAAGACCACGTGTAACGTAATTGATTGATTGATGAAGATTAAGCCACCCCAAAAGATGGCACGGCATGAATAGCCCGTAAAGTAACGTAATTAACGTAATTTAGGTTAAACATCTTGGTCAAATCACTTCACCTGACCACACACATCTAACCTTGAGTCATTAGCCATTCGCTGTTGAGTGGCTTAATCTTCATCAATCAGTCAATCAATCAATCATTAGCCATCCCCCACAAAGGTGCAACAGTCTAACCCGTTCTCGCACTTTGTTACAGTCAATATTGACTCATTAAATACGTGCATATGTGACATACTAAACATACTAGTTTACCTTGAAAAGCTTCATAGAAAACACCGACCTTACCTAACCTTCTTAGTATGTTAAGATAAGCATCTTATTGCTTCAAAATTACAATTATTACTTAACCTATTATAGGTATAACCTATTATAGGTATAGGTTAATATATCTAATTAAAAGTATACCTATTATAGGTATAACCTATTATAGGTATAGGTTAAGTAATAATTGTAATTATGAAGCAATAAGATGCTTATCTTAACATACTAAGAAGGTTAGGTAAGGTCGGTGTTTTCTATGAAGCTTTTCAAGGTAAACTAGTATGTTTAGTATGTCACATATGCACGTATTTAATAAGTCAATATTGACTGTAAGAAAGTGCGAGAACAGGTTGCTTCTATCTCTATTTCCAGGGATTCAACTCCCAGGAAGTTGCAATGTGTTTACACTCGACAAGGGAACGAAACCATCTCATCCCATCTTCTCGTAATTGCTGTGTGGGTTGTCAATCATAGACCAGCATGTCCTTCGATTTTTGTTTTGTGTCTATCCAGAGCTTTGGGAATATAGGACCTGGATATCAGATATATTTTTCCTTGACAGTTTTCGACCAATGTTAGTTTATTGGAATATATTTTGAACTTTATTAACTTTTCTGTTCCAAGTTTATGTATTTGTAATGGATACATTCCTTTCTAGTAATAAACATATTAATATAAAAACATTTAAATTAAATATTAAATGTTTACACTCAAAATGTCTGAATCATTCAGTTGTATTCTCTGATGGAATTAAACATAAGACTTTAATTGATAGTAAAAGTATATATCTTCAAAAACTTTTATGCTCGTAATTTAGTGGTTTAGTGTGAGTGCCCAGGAAATTATAAAAAAGGAAAGAGAAAGGTAATATTAATATATTTAGGAGGTATTTAAAGACGGAGTAAGAGCTAGGAAAGAGAGAGAGAGAGAGAGAGAGAGAGAGAGAGAGAGAGAGAGAGAGAGAGAGAGAGAGAGAGAGAGAGAGAGAGAGAGAGAGAGAGAGAGAGAGAGAGAGAGAGAGAGAGAGGAGAGAGAGAGAGAGAGAGAGAGAGAGAGAGAGAGAGAGAGAGAGAGAGAGAGAGAGAGAGAGAGAGAAAGGAGAGTAGATTTCCAATGCATTAAAATCCACGAAAACACTGATTTTGCTTGTTGTGTGAATAGTGTGTGGCGCCTTAGACACAGTCGCGCTGTACAACGAACCCGTAAATACTGTTCTCGCTGTCCTTACGCGTTCCTTGATGCTTGTATACCTCCGTGAGGTCCACTTCTTCATAAATCGGCTCTTCTGGGGGTCCAGGTTCGTCGCCGCCTGTAATTAAGAATAAGCTATCAGATACATAAGTGCTGTCTATCTGTGCTGTCAACTGTCCACGCTGACTACCTAAAAAGACGATTCATAATCGCACGACAACATGCCAAGCAAATGTTCTGAACGTTTCTTAACCTGGATGTAAGGTTATTATCTGGAGAAAGTGCTGAATACTTGGAAGGAATTTGAGGTTTTGGGTTGGAGGAAAGGAATGGTGCCCAACCTCTTGGCGGACGGTCGGGAATGGAACGCCGACCTGCAAGAAGCGAGCCCGTCGCTCTACCGTACATTTCAAAGCGATTGATTCTAACGTGAAACTATTGAAGGAGGGTGGGGGCGGGCTATGTCTTTCACTTATGTCTTTCAGAAAGTCTGGTCGGGGACCGGGCCGATGGGACGTTGAGTCCCGAAATAATCGCAAGGTAACCTAGGGAAGAAACTTATTCTAGGAATCAAAGCGTGTTTATCAACGCCGGCATTACAACAAGAATAAAATGTGATTTAAAATTTACATTGAACGCTCGCCTTTCATTCGTATAGAACTAAAGAACATAATAACATATGCTATGAAAAGCATATGTTCATCTCCCTAAGACAGAAATAAAGGAACAGACAGAAATAACTGTGCGGGAAAATAATGATCACTTCTAACATAGTATCACAGACAAGAATATGTCCTCAGAAACAAGGCATTTTTTTTTTCAGAAAACTTACAGCTCCCGAATTCAAATTCCCAAAAGCACTTACATCTCTCTCTCGAGTATTGTTCGCTGAAGGTACAGAATCCACGAAAAGAAGGGAATCTTAATATAAGACACATTTTCAAGAATGACCCAAGGTGTTGGATACGGTGTTGTGCTTGGGGCGAGGCTACGGGATCCAGTAAGTTCAGTAGAACTTCGGTTTTAACCCTTTTAACCCTGTCGTAGCTCAGTCGATTAAGGCAGTGTCTGGGATGCTCCCGGACGCAGGTTCGAATCCTCGTCACGGCCCTTGTGGATTTGTTCATTAGGGCCTTTCATCCCCTGGAGGTAAAACTTCACCTTTCATCCCCTGGAGGTAAAACTTCACCTTTCATCCCCTGGAGGAAAAACTTCACCTTTCATCCCCTGGAGGAAAAACTTCACCTTTCATCCCTTGGAGGTAAAACTTCACCTTTCATCCCCTGGAGGACAAGCTTCACCACAGGAGCTTCCTGGCCAATCAGTATATATCACATCACCCTGGAGGTAAAAATTTACCTTCAGGGTTGACTTGAAGTAAAGAGTTGAAGAAGAGTTTACTTCAGCCAACCTTCAGGGTTGGCTAAAGTAAAGTAAAGTAAAGTAAAGTAAAGTAAAGTAAAGTGACTCTTGGCATAAATACACCGAGAAGCGGGATGTATACACTTCCTGGTGTATACGTGTAAACAAAGTGTTTTATGAATTATGAATTGCTGTATACATTACTTTACGTAGTATTAAATTACTAATTATTTCTGTTATATGTAAAACAAATAAATGGTTCACCTACTCTTAATTCAATTTATTATTCACTAATATTGTTTGACTAATTAATTCTATAATAATTATAAATTGTATTATTAGTAGCAGAATCATCGAATTTTTTTTATCAATTTTTCTATAAAAATTTATCACCAGTGTTGTAAAATGAGGATGATATGTAAATAATTTTCAGACAGGACGTCAAACGGACCATCGTCAGGTAAACTGATGTCATACTTTACCCCACAAACCTTAATATATATATATATATATATATATATATATATATATATATATATATATATATATATATATATATATGTTTATATATATATATATGTATGTATATATATATATATATATATATATATATATATATATATATATATATATATATATATATATATATATATACATACATATATATATGTTTCATTGAATATGACCGCATATTCTGTATTTATTATTTTCTGGTTTAGGGCTTCTATCCCTCTAACTATTTTCTTAGCATCAGGGCTTAATTGAAATAGGAGTTCTCCAAAACTCATTTTCGTACTTTTAAGGTGAAGAAAAGAAGTGATTTACTATAGAGTGTATTACACTTATTTGTATAATTTGCACGACGTTTCAAACCTCCATGGTTCATTCTCAAGTGAACAGATCTTACAATACTAGTTGATTTTATACCCGCATTAGGTCAGGTGATAATACAATGAAGGTGAAAACATGGGGGGATACATAAGGGATAAACATAGGGGCTGCAGAAGGCTTATTGGCCCATACGAGGCATCTCCTATCTAAACACAAAGATTAATCGTTGTGTTTAGATAGGAGATGCCTCGTATGGGCCAATAAGCCTTCTGCAGCCCCGATGTTTATCCCTTATGTATCCCCCCATGTTTTCACCTTCATTGTATTATCACCTGACCTAATGCGGGTATAAAATCAACTAGTATTGTAAGATCTGTTCACTTGAGAATGAACCATGGAGGTTCGAAACGTCGTGCAAATTATACAAATAAGTGTAATACACTCTATAGTAAATCACTTCTTTTCTTCACCTTAAAAGTACGAAAATGAGTTTTGGAGAACTCCTATTTCAATTAAGCCCTGATGCTAAGAAAATAGTTAGAGGGATAGAAGCCCTAAACCAGAAAATAATAAATACAGAATATGCGGTCATATTCAATGAAACATGTTTGAAAGAAAACCTGCTGCCAGTATACACCAATATAAACATATATATAAATATATATATATATATATATATATATATATATATATATATATATATATATATATATATATATATATATATATATATATATATATATATATGCGAACAAGCCTGAATGGTCCCCAGGACGATATGCAACTGAAAACACACACCCCAGAAGTGACTCGAACCAATCGAGAAGTGACTCGAACAGGGTTCGAGTCACTTCTGGGTGTGAGTTTTCAGTTATATATATATATACATACATATATATATACATACATATATATATATATATATATATATATATATATATATATATATATATATATATATATATATATATACATACATATATATATACATACATATATATATATATATATATATATATATATATATATATATATATATATATATATATATATATATATATATATATATGTATGTCTATCTTTCGAGTAAAACAATCCAATGGTTCCACGTCTATCATTTTTTTATTATTCAGATAGTACAGTGGTTCAATAGGAAACAATTTATAAACAATATATATATTTAACGTACGTTTGCATATTTGCTTTCGCATCCATATGAGGATCCCAGAGATGAGAGCGACGAGGGATACTGTCACCGAGATGACGACTACCTTAAGATGTGTGCTCTGGGCATCACTTGGTTGGCAACAGTTGGAGGGAAGTGTGGTGGTGTTCCAGGTGACAGAGCAGCGGGTGTCATTCGGTTGTAACTCGGAAGAGTTGGTTGACGGATGGGTGGTGGTGGTGGTGGTGGTGGTGGCACCGGCCAAGGAGGAGCTGGATGGGGAGGCTTCGGGGTCGTCTCCATCAGTAGGGTTTTGAGTGGCAGCGGTGCGAGGCGGGTAGAGGCACTCAGGGCTCTTCCTCGTCCATTTGGAAGATCCTTTAGCTGATACTTCAATGTGCTTAAATTTGTTTATTCTCGACCATTTTTTCGTAATGATGGTTTTATTGTAACATCTGTCAACTGACAACTTCAATCCCCATTTATTACGGGTGAACCTTCCATTATGTTGCACAAATGCCTCTACTTTTAACTCATGCAAATGAGAGAGATTGCATAACCTTTTTTCAGTAAATATGAAATTCACCTGAGACAGAAGAAGTACTCTTAATCTCAGTGTCACATTGACGGAGATGGACTGTTCATTAAGAACGAAGTACAAGGAGGCAGTCCGCTCAGTAAATGTACCAATGATTCTCCAATTCACTGAATTCACGACCTTAACTGAGTCACATTTATCTCTCTTTCTCCTTTGGTGACGGATCTCTTGCTTCCAGCTTTTGTTTTCACTGTTCAGTTGTGTGGTGTTGGCGTCCCAGCGCGAGGACCCGTCTTGAGCCATCGGTGTCCCGTTGCTGCTTGTGAGGGCCGAGAGTTGTATCACACGGGAGGAAGCGTTATTCATAATATTGATCAGCTGGGCTTTTGTTGCAAGCAGAGGGACAGCAGTGGTGAGTGAGGTGTTTGTGAGGGACCTGGAGGTGAGGCGCTGTAACCTGGAGATATGGAGTGACTGGGTCTTGAGGGCAGGCGAGGCCAACACACCGGCCGACTTTTCGCTGCTGCTCTGCGCCAATATCGCGACTATAATGAGCCACAACAGCATAATTGCACGCACTTCACAGCTGCGTGATGCAGCATAATCACGCACAAACATCTTAAACTACGCATGCACAACACTCCCACTTGAACTATGCACGCAATTTGGGTCTTCCAGTCGCGCCTTCACAGTGTGATAGCCGCCTCAGTATGTACTAAGCATAATCTTATGAGCTCTTCTCAGAAAACACGGGCGGATGTGCATCCTGCCAATGTGCGGATGTCTAAGAAAATCGCCATTACTAGCGAAATATGCCACGCAACAGTATCATACTGTATATATACAGTGCATATATTCACTACAGTATATTTTGGTAGCAGTCTTTCCTATAGGCATATATTATTTAATGTGACATAAAGGGAAAAATCAATGATTCTAGCGCAAATCTTCTCTATTTTTCATATATTTTTATTCACTTGAGAAGGAAGCCTAAAAATGAACTCTCCAAACTTCATTTGTACAGTTTTATTTGGCTTGATGCAAAAATATTTTCGTTAACTTTTGTTAACATAGTTAAAGGCAGAGTTCGAATGATCATAATTTTTTTTCCTGTATGATATATACACGAGGATGAGGTGAGGGTGAAGCACCTCCCTATAGGTCAATTGTATCTTGTAAATCACCTGTTTGCATGATGGCTGATAGAGTATGTTGTATGTCCCGTCGTGTTCCGGAAGTTGGTAGAGTGTAACTGGGTGTTAATATCAGAGGTCCACGACTCTTAAATTTTTAGCTAACAAATATATATATATATATATATATATGTCACCTTGTGTCACCATATATATATATATATAGCGATGTCTCTCACCTTGTGACATATATATATATATATGTCGTACCTAATAGCCAGAACTCACTTCTCAGCCTACTATGCAAGGCCCGATTTGCCTAATAAGCCAAGTTTTACTGAATTAATATATTTTCTCTAATTTTTTTCTTATGAAATGATAAAGCTACCCATTTCATTATGTATGAGGTCAATTTTTTTTTATTGGAGTTAAAATTAACGTATATATATGACCGAACCTAACCAGCCCTACCTAACCTAACCTAACCTATTTTTATAGGTTAGGTTAGGTTAGGTAGCCGAAAACGTTAGGTTAGGTTAGGTTAGGTAGGTTAGGTAGTCGAAAAAACATTAATTCATGAAAACTAGACTTATTGGGCAAATCGGGCCTTGCTTAGTAGGCTGAGAAGTGAGTTCTGGCTACTAGGTACGACATATATATATATATATATATATATATATATATATATATATATATATATATATGTCGTACCTAATAGCCAGAACTCACTTCTCAGCCTACTATTCAAGGCCCGATTTGCCTAATAAGCCAAGTTTTCCTGAATTAATATATTTACTATAATTTTTTTCTTATGAAATGATAAAGCTACCCTTTTCACTATGTATGAGGTCAATTTTTTTTATTGGAGTTAAAATTAACGTAGATATATGACCGAACCTAACCAACCCTACCTAACCTAACCTAACCTATATATATAGATAAGGTTAGGTTAGGTAGCCAAAAAAAGCTAGGTTAGGTTAGGTTAGGTAGGTTAGGTAGACGAAAAAACATTAATTCATGAAAACTTGGCTTATTAGGCAAATCGGGCCTTGCATAGTAGGCTGAGAAGTGAGTTCTGGCTACTAGGTACGACATATATATATATATATATATATGTCGTACCTAGTAGCCAGAACGCACTTCTCAGCCTACTATGCAAGGCCTGATTTGCCTAATAAGCCAAGTTTTCCTGAATTAATATATTTTCTCTAATTTTTTTCTTATGAAATGATAAAGCTACCCATTTCATTATGTATGAGGTCAATTTTTTTTATTGGAGTTAAAATTAACGTAGATATATGACCAAACCTAACCAACCCTACCTAACCTAATCTAACCTATCTTTATAGGTTAGGTTAGGTTAGGTAGCCGAAAAGGTTAGGTTAGGTTAGGTTAGGTAGGTTAGGTAGTCGAAAAAACTTTAATTCATGAAAACTTAGCTTATTAGGCAAATCGGTCCTTGCATAGTAGGCTGAGAAGTGCGTTCTGGCTACTAGGTACGATATATATATATATATATATATATATATATATATATATATATATATATATATATATATATATATATATATATATATATATATATATATATATATATATATGTCACCTTGTGATCTTGTGTCACCATATATATATATATATATATATATATATATATATATATATATATATGTATGTATATATATATATATATATATCCCACCCAGACTCATATATACCTACGGGCTACTCCTGCCCGTGCCACCTCTTGGGTGGCTTAATATTCATTAATCAATCAATCATATATAATGCGTGCAACTATGTCGGATCTTCGCTTGAAGATTACAACAAGAAAACTGAATTAGAAGTACGTGTCCATCCCGCCACTCACAGTATTATAATGAACACAGCTGCGACGACGGAGAAGGTTTCGACCACCAAGAGGAGGATTACAACGACTTGTATCCTCTGGTTGCGACTAGGAAGTAAACCATATGAGTGGGTTGACGGACGGGAGGTGGTGTCACGGGCCAAGGTGTCACCCTGGCCGGTGTCACCCTGGTCTTTGACACCCTGGCCGGTGACACCCTGGCCGGTGACACCCTGGCCGGTGACACCCTGGCCGGTGACTTCGAAGTCATCCCATGGACTGGATGGGGAGATTTCAGGGTCGTCTCCATCAGTAAGGTGTTGAGTGGCAGCGTTGTGGGGCGGGTAGAGGCATTCAGGGCTCTTCCTCGTCCATTTGGAAGATCCTTTAGCTGATACTTCAATGTGCTTAAATTTGTTTGTTCTCGACCAATATTTCGTAATGATGGTTTTATTGTAACATCTGTCAACTGACAACTTCACTCCCCATTTATCAAGGATGAATCTTCCATTATGTTGCACAAATGCCTCTACTTTTAACTCATGCAAATGAGAGAGATTGCATAACCTTTTTTCAGTAAATGTGATCTTCACCTGAGACAGAAAAGGTATACCTAATGTCAGTGTCACATTGACGGAGATGAACTGTTCATTAAGAACGAAGTACAAGGAGGCAGTCCGCTTAGTAAATGTACCAATGATTCTCCAATTCACTGAATTCACGACCTTAACTGAGTCACATTTATCTCTCTTTCTCCTTTGGTGACGGATCTCTTGCTTCCAGCTTTTGTTTTCACTGTTCAGTTGTGTGGTGTTGGCGTCCCAGCGCGAGGACCCGTCTTGAGCCATCGGTGTCCCGTTGCTGCTTGTGAGGGCCGAGAGTTGTATCACACGGGAGGAAGCGTTATTCATAATATTGATCAGCTGGGCTTTTGTTGCAAGCAGAGGGACAGCAGTGGTGAGTGAGGTGTTTGTGAGGGACCTGGAGGTGAGGCGCTGTAACCTGGAGATATGGAGTGACTGGGTCTTGAGGGCAGGCGAGGCCAACACACCGGCCGACTTTTCGCTGCTGCTCTGCGCCAATATCGCGACTATAATGAGCCACAACAGCATAATTGCACGCACTTCACAGCTGCGTGATGCAGCATAATCACGCACAAACATCTTAAACTACGCATGCACAACACTCCCACTTGAACTATGCACGCAATTTGGGTCTTCCAGTCGCGCCTTCACAGTGTGATAGCCGCCTCAGTATGTACTAAGCATAATCTTATGAGCTCTTCTCAGAAAACATGGGCGGATGTGCATCCTGCCAATGTGCGGATGTCTAAGAAAATCGCCATTACTAGCGAAATATGCCACGCTACAGTATCATACTGTATATATACAGTGCATATATTCACTACAGTATATTTTGGTAGCAGTCTTTCCTATAGGCATATATTATTGAATGTGATATAAAGGAAAAAATCAATGATTCTAGCGCAAATCTTCTCTATTTTTCATACATTTTTCTTCACTTGAGAAGGAAGCTTAAAAATGAACTCTCCAAAGCTCATTTGTACAGTTTTATTTGGCTTGACACATAAATATTTTCGTTAGCTCTTGTTAACATAGTTAAAGGCAGAGTTCGAATGATCACAATTTTTTGTCCTGTATGATATATACACGAGGATGAGGTGAGGGTGAAGCACCTCCCTATAGGTCCATTGTATCTTGTCAATCACCTGTTTGAATGATGGCTGATAGAGTATGTTGTATGTCCCGTCGAGTTCCGGAAGTTAGTAGAGTGTAATTTGGGTGTTAACATCAGAGGTCCACAACTCTTCAACTTCTAACCAACAAATATATATATATATATATATATATATATATATATATATATATATATATATATATATATATATATATATATATATATATATATATATATATATATATATAGTTTGTGAGGGTACCACCTCTGGTGCCAATGTGGGGACCCATAGCCTCAGAGAAGAAAATAAAAAGTATTCAGAGGAGATCTTGTGGTTTCTCACTGAACACTAATATTATCTTCTCCTACCACCCCCATTCTTTTGTATGTACACATATATATTTACTTTATTTGAACTTTGTTACAAAAAAGGAGTTACATATGGGTTACAAAGATGGTTATCATAGGTTGTCGAGTTCCTCCAGCTCCTCAGATGGCGGGCAGGAACCCTATATATATATATATATATATATACATATATATATATATATATATATATATATATATATATATATATATATATATATATATATATATATATATTTTATTAAATATGACCGAAAAAGTAAGATTAATAATTCTAACACGAATTTTCTCAATCTTTCGTACATTATGCTTCACTGTTGGAAGTAAATCAAAAATCACTTCTCCAAAATTCATTTTTTTATTTCTAGTCTGACGCGACACGGGCGCGTTTCGTAAAACTTATTACATTTTCAAAGACTTCACAAATACACAACTGATTAGAACTTGCGTTTCCCTGATTTTATATCTACATTTGAGTGAGGTGGGAAGGGTGATGTGGCATTACATTTGAGTAAGGTGGGAAGGATGATGTGGCATTAGAGGATATTAATAGGGTATTAAAAGTATCAACACAAGACAGAACACGAAACAATGGATATTGAATAGAAGTGTTTGTAGAAAGCCTATTGGTCCATATTTCTTGATGCTTCTATATTGGAGCGGAGTCTTGAGGTGGGTAGAATATAGTTGTGCAATAATTGGCTGTTGATTGCTGGTGTTGACTTCTTGATGTGTAGTGCCTCGCAAACGTCGAGCCGCCTGCTATCGCTGTATCTATCGATGATTTCTGTGTTGTTTACTAGGATTTCTAGAATTACTAGGATTTACTAGGATTTTAGGATTACTAGAAATCCTAGTAAACAACACAGAAATCATCGATAGATACAGCGATAGCAGGCGGCTCGACGTTTGCGAGGCACTACACATCAAGAAGTCAACACCAGCAATCAACAGCCAATTATTGCACAACTATATTCTACCCACCTCAAGACTCCGCTCCAATATAGAAGCATCAAGAAATATGGACCAATAGGCTTTCTACAAACACTTCTATTCAATATCCATTGTTTCGTGTTCTGTCTTGTGTTGATACTTTTAATACCCTATTAATATCCTCTAATGCCACATCATCCTTCCCACCTTACTCAAATGTAATGCCACATCACCCTTCCCACCTCACTCAAATGTAGATATAAAATC